CATTTTCTTAGATTCAAACCTGGTGATCTTTGATGTCAGAGAAAACCAGTAGCATGCAATACCTTAGTCTTGGTCTCAGAATTCCCTTGAAGTCAGAAATGGATCATGACTAGACCTGCTAACCCTAAAAGTGTGTTTTAATATGGAATTTGTGGCAGGAATTTATCACTGTCATTTGGATGGTAGCCAAGATGACTTGGGATGCCTAAAATTCAGGAACTGATTTCTGATCTAGATAGCAACTGCATTTCTGCCATTTACATCTTCTTGTCGTCTTTTGGGTTTAGGTTTCAACCTCAAAGCTGGAACCTGAAATCCAAGCAGCAACATCGGAAAAGACAGTCAGTTACAACAAAGGGTTATGAGGTACCTGACGTTACATAAGGTAACAGTGAAGTAACTTGAGTTGTAGTCAGGTAATGTGATTTATTCATACAAAGCTACCTCAGTCACTGTCATTTGAACATAGACAATAAATCAAAAGCAGTAACTGTCGGGCAGTGTACATTGGTGACGCCTTGAACATGAGAGTACCAACTCTTTGATTCATTGACCAAGTTTGAGTATCAGATGTCAACAAAGATGGATCCAGACCCAAATGTTAGGGGGGTGGCAAACCAAGTAAGCAGCACCCTCAGTGCACTTTTGCATTAACTGATCCCATCAAGTCACAATGAAGTGCCCCTGTTCAGAAACAGCTTCCTGGATTTCCAGATCAAAGTGGCTCTTTCCATACAAAATAACCCCCATTTAAGATTCTTAATATCTTAACTCTTGTTGATTAAAACAAAAATCCTCATTTTTGGGGGGAACACATGGCCCCATTTCCTCTTCCCCCTCCACCCTTGGATGTCAAGGTTAGAGTAAGACAACCGTTCCAATTTTGACAAAGCAAGTAATCGTCATTGCTGCATAAATTTCTAAGGGTGTAGAACGTTTCTAGCAGTGGTAAATTGTGTCTTCTATTTTCATCAAGTTGTCATTTCTATTCATATCAACAGCAGTGTTATTTAACCATGATTCCTTGGGAGTGGTTTTAGTATACCAGGCAAGGTATGGGACGGAGGGGAACCCCCTTAC